CCCCCGCTTTTAATATGTGGTAATAACATTACTACATATAGGAAAACTTGTATAGCAGCTTCTTGAATAACATGGTTTCATTCAATGTCATTCCATTATAACACTGATGAGAAAAAATTAATGAATTCCTGCCTGGGGACACGGTTTGAGTGGAGTTTGCATGGTCCCCCCAGGTCTGTGTGGGTTTTCTCTGCATCCTTTGGTTTCTCTGGGCCCTCTGGGCCCACAGCAGAGACTTGCATGTTAGGCGCACTGGCGTGTCTGCATGGCCCAGTCTGCGAGTGGGTGTGGGTGTGGGTGTGGGTGTGGGTGTGGGTGTGGGTGGTCCTGAGATGGAAGTGTGACCTGTCCAGGTGGGTGGCTGCCTTGTGCTCTGAGCTGGAGGGGTAGCCTCCAGCCGGCTGCGACCCTGAACTGGAATAAGCGGGCTGGCCAGGGATTCCCCTGCTTGTTTCTAGTCACCTTTCTTACATGGATGGACGGCTCACATTTATTTCAGTGTTTAATATTTGAAATGCTTCTGGTTTTTATTTAGAAGTTTGATGATGTTTCTGTGACCAGCAATATCTTGCAGGAACTTAACACTTATTTATATCGGTTAGCCTGTGGCGGAATTGGTTTTGCTACAGGTTTTCTTTCCTGAGGTCACTGTTTCGAAGAACCTCCCCAGGAGGTCGGGGGGGGCTCCCTGTTCCGGTTCAGCCTGCGTGTTAAACGCCAGCCTTTGCTGATTCTTGCTCCTGCAGAGCCCAGAAGTTAAACTGAGTTCTTTCCATCTCTCTCATTCTGAAGCAGTTTTATTTAACCTGCTCTTTTCATGCATATCAATTATCTTCCGAGCAATAGCATGTCTGTTCTCCTTGTTGATATTTAAAGTGTCCTTTCCGTTCTAGGTAAGGTCAAGAGTTTTTGGTGCTTCCAGTGACATTTAGTTAATTACACTTAAGCATGAGCTTTCTTCTCTCTTTTTTCTACAGTCTGAACAATATCTAGGCTTAGCAAATCCACAGAACATTTTATAGTTCATCTATAACCTAAAAAATGCCTACAACCTGCTAGAGAGGAAAAAAAGAACTAACCTTTTCCTATTGTTTTCAAAAATATTAATCATCAAAGTAAAAATATTATGCACTCAGTAATTATTTTCAGCCTTTCTTGCAACCTACATCAGGAATTTTAGCTCAGATAATTTTCCGTGCATAGGTGTAAAGCCTAAAAGGGAACTAAAATTTGGTTCGATATTAAGAAAAAGAACAAGCTGGAGACATTCAAGGTTTTCTCCCCTCCCCTTCAGTTTCAAAAAAGCAAGTACTACACTAACAATAATCCTGAGTTTTGCTTAAAAACTTATATTTTAACATTTTGATTAGCCTATGTGAATTAATACTTTTATTCTGAATTGGAAAGCACTTTTACTATTTTTACTGCTGCCATTTTAAAAAATAAGCTACCATTGAGCCTGTAACAGCATTGGAAGAACACACAATAAAATCATCTGCACGTAGTCATTATTTATATCATTAAGCATTCTTTTCTTCCAAGAGTAGGACATTATGATGTATTGCAAAACTTTTCTGAACTCTAACACTCCACTTTTTTATATCAATTTTTCCTGAATAAATAACTTAAAGATGCCCATTGATCCTTAGGAATTTAGAAGACTTAATGCTTGAAAATATTTTTGCTGCTTTCTATCACAAAACAAAGGTTCTGTTATTGGAAAGTCCCTCTTGCTTTAAATGCTGTTGACAAGCATTTACGTGTTAACTTTTTCATGAGTAAAGCAATTTCCAAGCTCTAAAGAGTCTTCTTTCAAATCTGGACCTGAAATCTATTCACTCCATGCTTGCAAAAATGCCACTTCTTGTGGCTACATCTTCAGATATCTACTGCAACCCCTTCAAACTGTGTTCAAAGGGAAATGATAATACCATGTCCTTTGGTGATTTGACCAAAGGTGATAAAGACCCCTGCAGTCTTTATGCCCTTTTCACAGGAAATGAACACTTTTTGTTGAGATACAAGTGCCAGGCATTACTTTTTTTACACAAACAAATAAATTGTGGTTAATAAGTATGTATAAAAGTTTCTGTGGACTGCTACTCTTGGTGCTAGTTGTTAAAAATCCTATTTACTTAATATAATGAAAAACTTCTCAATTTTTTGCAATTCCTATGCCCTATAGTTACTGAATTCTCTGGGAGTTCTCATATAATTTGTACTTTTTTTAACTTTAAACTGTTATGGTGACTGATAGTATTTCTATTAATTTTTAAATTTCATTTGTAGGGCATGTATACAGGTTTTCCTTTCCAAGTTCCACTCCTTATGAACCTGATATTCCAAATATTTGAGGAAAATTTTTCACAGAATTCTTTCTTTTCCAGAGAGGTGTCAGGATACTTCTTATAAAATCTGGTGAAATAGCTTTTCATCACCTGGTTTTCTAATTATGCCACACAGTAAACTGGGACCTATTTAAAGGAAGCCAAAAATAAAGAAAACAAAAGGAAGATATGTATTAGCTCTTTTCATCCCCTCTGTGCTAGTCATGCTTCTGGCTTATGAGTGTGATTTGGAAAATTAGCCTTTTGGTGGAGGGATGGGAGAGACCATATTTTGTGCTCAGTAACAAAGTGTATGAATTATGATGGCGCTTAAACAATACTAGCACTAGAGGAAAAATATGTCTGTCATATCTTGAATGTTATAATAACGGCTTTGCTTTTAGCTGTGAAAATACAAACTGCAGTAAGTGCACTTTAGTAAATAATATCCAACTCTCAACCTAGGAAAAGCTTTCTCACATTGCTTCTAGCTGGTATGTTTGGTAATTTAAGAATCAAGCAATCCCAGACTTTGCAGGCCAGGTTCATAGTTTCTTTGGCAATATAATTCCCTGGAAAATGTATTACTCTCCTGGGCTACTTTTTTTTTTTTTTTTTTAAATATATCTTTATTGATTTCAGAGAGAGGAAGGGAGAGGGAGAGAGGAACATAGTTGTCATTGATCAGCTGCCTCCTGCACACCCTCAACTGGGGATCCAGCCCGCAACCTGGACATGTGCCCTGACATGTGCCCTGACATGTGCCCTGACATGTGCCCTGACATGTGGCCTGACCGGGAATTGAACTGCGATCTCCCAGGTCCTAGGTGGATGCTCAACCGATGAGCCACTCCTGGCTGGGCTGGGCGACTTCTTTGTAGTTAGTTCCTGGTATAATTAACCCCACCCCAAAATTTCTTCTGTGCAGGGCTCTTCAGTCTCCTGGCTCCCTCAGCTTAACAGCAGCTATACTCTTAAGTCATTTGAATGGATACACTTAGGTGGGAAGGCAATGTCCCTCTTGCTGCTGGGGTGGCTCTGACTTGTAGCTGCACCTCTTGCTCACTGGGGCATTAGAAACATTTGAGAGGCCCCAATTTCTAGACTCTCACACAGTTTAGATTATAGGTCATTACCAGAGATTTTTCTTTTCATCTCAGCTTGCAATTTGGCTATTTCATGCCTAACTTCGCTAATCTTTTAGGACCTTGATCAAAGGAACAAACAACACATAGACACTTTTTAACCAATTCTTCAAGAATAACAGGTTTTTAGATATAAACTATGACTTCTGAATTATTACAGACCACAGTTTTATCAGGAGCTTGCTATCTCTTGCCAAGGGTCACTAGTTTTCTAGCTAGCCCACTATATCTGTATTTTCATTTTCCATCATCAAACTTAACATATGCATATATGTTTAAGTAGCATCTCACATCTTTTATCAATTTCTTTATCAGTTATGGGATAGGCCAAGCTTCCTTTAAAAAGAGACCTTAAAATACAGTGGATTAGGCAAGTTGAAAATTTATTTTTCTCTCATATAGTCATGCTCATGATTCACTCATATATGACTTAAGAAAGCAGACACATGACCAAATCCAGCTCCACTTGGGTTTGAAAACTTGGAAATTTTCTAGCTGAGCATCCATGTGCTCAATTAAAACTTAGAAGATGCATATACTAAAAGGAAGAAGATAAGAAAGAACACTAAGGAAAATCAGCAGCTGCTTCCATACGTGCGTCCAGCGTCCTGTCAATCTTTTCCTCTAATGTACCCATATTTCTTCTTGGACCCTTGAGCCTGGAAGGAAGCTTCTATATACATATAATGCTATAGCTTTAATTCTTCTTCAAAGAGTTATAATATACACATAATTTGGGTAAATGTATATAGGTTAATTGGAAAGTTCAGTTATTTTAAGAGTTTATTAAGGTGTAATTCCAAATGCTTTCAAGTTATTTCTATTCACCTTAACTAGACAATATTAAACAAAATAGATGACTTATAGGAAATCAAAGCTATCAGTATATCTAGTTATGCAAAGTTAAGTCATGACAATTGTATTTTATTTATTAAACTAATTTTTCTATATATTTTCATAGATGAGGGAGCGTTTTTTTCGCTCCACAAATAGGCATATATACCGTATTTACTTAGAAAATCATTGAGAAAGTATGGGGAAATGATTTTTTAAACATGTATTCTATTTTCTATAGAATCTATTTAATTAGTTGCTTTAATTACCAAATCACAATTTAAGATTGGTAATTTACCAATTTACATTCTATCATATGGTGCTTTGTAAATGATATCATCAATTCTTTGATTTGCTGACATTAATAGAAGAATTTTTATTTCAAATATAGGAAGAACATTCTTCGTTTCCTAGATGCAGAACGAGATGTCTCAGTGGTCAAGAGCAGTTTTAAGCCTGGTGATGTCATCCACTATGTGCTTGACAGGCGCCGGACACTGAATATTTCTCAGGATCTGCATAGCCTCCTCCCTGAAGTTTCACCAATGAAAAATCGCAGATTTAAGACCTGTGCGGTTGTTGGAAACTCTGGCATCCTGCTAGATAGTGAATGTGGAAAGGAGATTGACAATCATGATTTTGTAATAAGGTGAGCTTTCTTCTTTTCCTAGATCTTAATTTCTTCAAAGATGTTTAATTTAGAAGTACAAAACTGGCAGAAATGTTTAAAGCTAAAGTTAATATTAAGGATTATTGAAAGCTCAAAAAAAATTTATCTATGCTTTTTCTGTGTAGCGTCTAAATTTACATTTACCTTGAAATGTAAAATTAAAATTATTGCATCATTGGAAAAAAAGATTCATACCAGCATTTTTTTGCCAAATGGCAATTTTATTAGATTTGATACTACATAGGAAAAGTTTCTCTTACTATTTCTTCTTTATATTGATTAATTGAATATTAATTTATTCATGAGTATGAAAAATAATTATATTTGTGAATGAATTCACCTAATTAATTCTATTCATAATTATCTTTAAATTAAATACATTATATTTGTTTCTTTATAAACATTATGAACATTAATATGCACTGAAGTAATATATGTAAACTAATTTTACTTTATAATGCTAATTATTTAGCAGATTGCAAGAATACAATTTAATAAGTTTATCTTTGATACATTAGGCCAAATGTCTTCATTATTCTTTATATGTGGTATTTGTGTACATTAGTATATTTTGGTTTTTGAGTTTTCACACATAATTAAACACACCTGTTTGTTTTTCTTTGATGATAAACAGATATTTGATGAGTCATATGCTTGGTTAACTTTTAATTAACTAAAGCAAACACAACAGTAGAAATGGGATTGTGATGGCATCATAAATATTAGTGATTTTTAAATTCCCAAGTTATATGTCTGAACAGATTTTTTTGCTCGTTTTAGTTCTTTAGGAAAATTTGCTGAATGGATACTGAAATGTAAAATGGAGCAATATAAAGATAGATAAAAAATATTCTGATTTGCCATGTTGACAAATAACCTGAAGTCTTGAATATGCTGGAATCCAGCCCGTGAAAGTATAGATCTTGAAATAATCTTTTAAAAATAAATATAAGTGATTATATAAGTATTCATCATAAATAGTCAATATTTTTTTATAAAATGAGAGCCAAGAAAAATCATAATAGTACACTATCAGGTGAATATAATTCACACAATGAATACATATCTACAAACATTTGGCCTTATTAGCTTACCTTTTCTCAGTTGGAGGTAGGGTCAGAAATTTATTTGACATCAGTTGAGCCTTTAAAACCTGAACTGTTAAATTGGACTGAGAGGAAAACCCTGACAACATGTAGACGTACAAACAAAGTTGTATCCAAAGAGGAGGTAAAAATATTTGATGAGGGAATGACAATTGAAGTGGAGGTAATGAGCTTTAGACATCGAAGCCTGTGTGAAGTATGGTTGTGAAGAAAAGCAAAGCTAGATTTCCGAAGAGACAGAGGGCAGGTAAAATAAATAAGTAAAGAGGTTAGAGCACAATAGAAATTGTTGGAGTCTAAAGAAGAGAATTTTTTAAGTTGATTGATACTGGAGAATATAGGATCCAAATGGGACCAATCCTTGTTTGTACACTCCTCAGCTTTAGCATTGGGATCTATATAACTCTTGAGAATTGGCCCCACATCTGACTCTGAAATTAAGACCATAAGGGTTAAAACTTTTATCAGGTTACATAATTATCACTTCTTTTTTGTGGTGAGAACAATTAAGATCTAGTATTTTGGAGATTTCAAGTTTGTAATACAATATTGTTAATCACTATGCTGGGCATTAGATCTCCAGAATTTATTTACTTGTTGCAAGTCACTTACTGGTATTTGAGCATTTGCAAATGGTAGAGTGCTTTTAGGAAGAGACCTTCAAGAAGTTCTTTATATTTTTCTAAGCTATGATTATTTAAAAAATTTATTTAACAAGAACCAAATGATGACCAATCCTATGAGTCTATAACTGTGTTATGTTCTTACCAAGAAGTATAAAAAAATAAGGATAAGCATCTTAATGAAGACATGAAAATTATCACCATATTTTTTTCCTTTCCCCCATTATTACTAGTTTTCAAAAATAGAAATTGGAATGCTCCAGATTAAAGTTTGTATTAGGAAATGTAGCTCAGGATTAGATTTCTGATTTTCCAAGAACAACTTTGTCAAGAACCCACTTATCATTAGAAACAAATAACCTTTCAGGAAAACCATCTTTGTTGTATAATAGCTACTTGGGGAATTTTTTTTTTTTTTTTTTGAGTCTCATGGACACAAGCTTCTTCAATGACACAACATTGAAGACCACACCTCCGGCCTTCTAAAGCTGTGTCCTTCTCATGGCATTCTGTCTCATTGTCTCTGTGCCAGAAACTGTTTCCTTCCCCAAGTATGTATGGCCTTTGTTATTATACATGTGTCTCTTCTAACCCTAGAACATCAAGAAGAATGTTTTGATTTAAAACTCAATCATAGCCTCATTCTTTGAAATAGTTTCCCATCCATATCAAACTTATTAAAATTGTTAAAATTTTAGTAACAATCTATAGAATATTTCAAATTTTTCACTTTCCCAGGGATATATTGTGTGTGTACTTGCATAGAAATAGTTTTGGTTAGTTGTTTGTGTGTATAGCCTGTGTTCCCAGTTTGGTTCCCACTTTTTCTGTTAGATAATAAGCTTGTTAGGAGATAAATTACGCCTGGTCTGCTCGTAGAGGGCACTAACTAGTTCAGTGACCCCCTCAAGGATTAGATCCATCTAGGTATTATATTTAAGTTGACCTCTAGCTTTATAAACCAAAGCATTATTTTAGATAAAATCTTAATTGGATATTAATTAGATTTTAAACTTCACCTTTATATTTTGTAAAAAAGCTTTAAAGAAATAAAATACCATCTTTTTAAAAATGATGTACCAGAATGCACTGTTGAATGCAAAAGGAATTTCTTGCTCCAAATAGTTCTTCTATTGTGGGATGAGGGCAAGGGGCATACAGATGGCATTATTGTCCTATAAAGTGTAGTTGTGGAGAACATGACTTTTAATATTCCCCACACATATTTTCCAATAAGCCTGTGGAAAGTACCCACATTTATGTTTGGCATATAATGGTAGCTCTACATAAACACACACACACATACACTGTCATGCATTTCCTCTCCTACAAGGGATACTCCCTCAGTGGTTGTTTGTATCATCAATTAAGTGCTGGTTTCGGTGGGCTATTACACAAAATAGAGGCCCTGATCAACATCTTTACATGATGTTTAACGTTAAATAAATAAATAAAAATCAAAGCCTAGTTTTGGTTCCCTAATGACTGCCTACGTAGTGAACTGATTTGTAAAGTCTAGGATTCATATACACATATACCTAAATAAAAGAAAAATAAACAAGATAAATAATTTTATTTTTTAATAAAAATGTCTAAAACCATAATTCAAAAAATAGTGTTATGTCCACTTGGTCAGTATTTTTTGTATGTGCAACCCTCAAGGAATCTCAATTGTTGCAAGAAAGGAAGGTTGGCCAAGACAGAGAATCACGGGTGGTCAGTCACGCCCTCAAGTTGAAAATATCTTACTTCTCTTGACCTGCAATCCTCTCTAATAGAAAATATTACTTCAGGATGATAAAGCTCTTGTGATGCTGTTTAATTTAATTTGATATAATTTAATCTGGCATTGCTATGTCAGTTATATACCTTGTTCCATCTTCATGAGAAGAAAAGGAAATGGGAGTATAAAAGAAATATTATATTTAAGTTTTCTAGCTTTATTGAGATATAATTGACATATAACATTGTGTAAGTTTAAGGTGTGCGATGTGTTGATTTAATACACTCATATATTGCTTTATGAACACCTCCTTCAGGTTGCATATTTACTATTTCCTTTTGGTGATGAGAACATTTAAGATCTACTCTCTTAGCAACTTTCAAGCATATAATACAGGACTGTTAACTATAGTCACAATGTTGTACATTAGATACCCGGAACTTATTCATCTTCTAACTGGAAGTTTGTAGCCCTTGAAATTAGCCCTACTAATTTCTCCCAACCTCCAGCCCTGATAAACATTATTCTGCTCTCATTTCTATAAGTTTAGCTTTTTTAGATGTCACATGTAAGTGATATTGTATAGTATTTGTCTTTCTCTGTCTGACTTTTTTCATTTAGCATAATACCCTCAAGTTCCATTCATGTCACAAATGGCAACAAAGGAAATAATATTTTAATGTTATTCATTAGACCTACTTCTTTAAATATTGATAGGCATTTTGAATTCTCTGGGTGTGCGGCTTTGAAATGGGAGGAAACTGTGACTTTCCTTTATGTTCTTCTGCATCCATAGAGTAGGTACAGGTCAGGATCTATACAAAAAATGTCCTGCCGATATATAATTTTATATCCAATATTTTCTTTTTTTCTTTGGGATGAGCTCTTCTTTTCTTCAAATAGCATCTATATCTATGGTGTTTTAAGTAAAGAAAAGTGCAATTTTAGGCCTAACAGTGGCATTGTTAACTGATAAAAAGACATTCCAAATATTCAACTAAAGTTACACTTTTAACATTATTTATAACGATGTGTGCAGACAAAAGAATGAAAAATATATGTGATTTTAAAATTATGAAACATTCCTTTATACCAGTACTTATAGGGCCAGTAAATTTAGAGGACTCCACAAATGATTCCCTAAAATCCTTCTCCCACTCAGGTGTCATATTAACTACAATTCTACTTATTGAAACACATTTCTTTGGCATTATTCTTATGGGCATTAAAATGAAAATAATCTGTTAACAGGTAAACATTAATTTATTATCTCAGTCTGGCCAGCATGGCTTAGTGGTTGAGCATTGGCTGAAGATCCAGAAGTTCCCGATTCCTGGTCAGGGCACATGCCTGGTTTGAGGGCTCGATCCCCAGTAAGGGGCCTGCAGGAGGCAGCCAATCAGTGACTCTCATCATTGATGCTTCTGCCTCTCTCTCTCCTTTACTCTCTCTGAAATCAATAAAGATATATTTTTAAAAATTATTATTTCAAAGGTACTAATAGAACAGTAGTTTACTCATACAACA